GGATGCGCTCTGCAAGCCTTCTGGCTGGCTGTACATAGTGGTTGTTACAGTCCTTACACTGTATGTTGTAGATGACTCCTGTTTTTTCTTCTTGAGGTACTGGGTCTTTTCTTTTGGTTTACTTAAGATGTTTTGGAGGGCTTTAGTTGGTTTGTGTGCTACAGAGATGCCATGTGGTTGTAATCGTCTGTTGGTAGTTTCTGAGAATGTTGGTAGTTTCTGAGAATGGAGGCCTGGGGTGTGCCAGTTGACACTTCCTTTCAGCTTGGCACTAGCTTGACGTGCACTCATTGGGTATTTATTCTTCAACCAGCTCTGAATCCATCTAATGGTCCAGCCCATATTTTTCCATATTCTTTACTAGGATCTCATGGAGACCTTGCTGAAGTCAATGTACACCATGTCCATTGCATTCCTATGTGTGAAGGTACTGCACAGCCTCATTGTCTTTCCTCCGCTGCTTCTAATGCAGGGATCATTCATTCATTCATTCATTCATTCATTCATTCATTCATTCATTCATTCATTCATTCATTCAGTTTATATAGCTGTCCATTTCACATACATTTTCACAATATCAGATGTTCCTTTTGGGTTTTCCAACTCTGCCAGAGAATTCTGATTCCCCCATTCCATTCCATTTCTGTTGCTATAGATATTTTCTAAATGGGTGCATACATTTTATGTAGAAATAGTAAAATCAAAAACAATGGTGGGTCCACTTTAAAGGGCCACACAAGGCTAGAGCCTGTTGGACTAGGCCTTGGGATTTCCTAGGAAGTGCATCCTTATCCATGGAAGTCCGTTGGGTGAGTCTTCTGGGTCAGTCACTATTTCTCAGAACAGCCTACCTCACAGGTTTGTTGTGGGGAAAAGTATGCTGTCTTGATCTTCTCAGAGAATTGCCACATATAAATCTATAAATAAACAAGCAAGATAAAAGTACAGTTGCAGCAGCAAAAATGGGTAGATGGCGAAGGTTGGCGAGTACAATTGCCACTCATTATCTGCCAACAAGTCACAATTGCTAGGATCATTGACAATTTTTAAATTAATGCTTGACAATTTGATAATTTGTTTTCTAACTATTTCAATCACCAATTACAACAAGTAATGATGTTTCTGAAAATAGGATTTCTAACTTTCAGCAGTTAGATGCAGAAGACTTCATGTGTCTATACAGATATGCAACAATGTTTTGTGCAAGTACAAAAATATGTGTTCCATACATGTCAAAAAAATATTTTCCTCTAAAAAGATTACTTTCATATAAGAAAAAATTGAAACATTAATCAGAACTGCATGAAAATGTATTTTAGGATGTAGGATTCATAGCCAAAATCCCCTTCTCTTTTAATAAAGTGCGTTGCACTGAGCATTTTTTCTTTTTTGCATGCTCGTAGAAATTAGTCATAATTCAATTAAATTTTGTTATAAAGTTTTTTTTAATGGAGGGGGTGGAAACAAATGGTTATAGAAAAGCAGCAGATTGCCTATTTGTCAGGCAACAATAAATAAAATATTTTAGTACTTGAGAAATATAAAAAATAAAAATGTTATTTTTTTAATTGTTAAAGAGTTGGGCAGCCTACAAATTTAATACCTTATTATCAAAATCATTTAGCCAATTCAATTAGAGCTTTCCTTGCGTATGTTTCTCATACTGTAGTAATTGTTTACTATTTTTGTGTTACATATCAAATCTTAATTATCCTTTTTTGACCATTTACTCTTATTGGTTTGATTTGCTTTACATATTATTTTTCAAAAATGAATAAACGACAACAACAACAAAGTAAAGACCAAAAATGGAAGAATCCCAGCAAGACCCCTTGGCTTCTTCTCCACAATCCCTAAAGTTCTTTTTATGGAAGATGTGTCTATTGGAAATAATCAGCAATCACACCATGAAATGCAAGCAATATTCAGTACTCTCCAGGCAAAAATAGATGACAGATATGACAGACTGGTGACCCAAGTTGAGTCTCAGAATACAGAGATTAAGGAAGTAAAGACTGAATATCCA